CCCCAAAACCCCAAAACCCCAAAACCCCATGATCATCTAATAAATTTTTAAATGTATTAAATAGTCTTATTTAATAATTTTCAATTTCTGAATGATATCTCTTCAATAAATCCTTGATTATTACTAAAGTCCTCACTCATATTTTGATTTTGAATAGCCAGTTGATTTCTGAATTTCATTTCAACGAGTCTTTTTCTCTCCGCTTCTCTTTCTTCTACTGAGAATGGAGTTACCAGGCCCTTTAGATACTTAAAAATTTCTCTTGACTCCATTACATCGACTCCAAGCATAGCTCTCAACTTAGGATGCCTTGAAATGTTATAGTGATGACATTAAAGATCAACCAAATCATTATCGTTGCAAAAATTAACAAAAGCAGTCAAAATATCTCTTCTCGTGCTTGGGGATTTCAATTTAAATAGAGATTGCATTTCTGGCCTTACATCATACATTATCTTTTCACCAGCATTCATTCTAAGCTTCAGTCCGAAGTCCTATCGAAGCTCAGGTCTTGTTTACAGATATTATTTCACCTCAACTAAATCAGTTTAAGCTGCATTGTTAGCGATATATGTAGATGATGGATTCTCATTGCTTAATTATGAAAACTCAACATTAATGCAGGAACTTCTGTCTAACTATTAATCATGCATGAGTTGGATCTTTTCTTTGAAAGACATTCTGCCTCTTTTCTTGGTCTCTCTATGTTCACGATGATAGTAATATTTAGTTGTATCAGGGTAAGCTTCCAATGCATCATGGTGATCTTACTTTTAATGCTCTATTATTTACTCAAAATAGGAAACTTCATCCATTCTTTAAGCTCCTAATTTGTCTGATAGTTGAATTTAATGATTGAAGGCTTTTGGTTTGGGGCCTCTTTTTCTATATTACTATTGCCCATATATATTGTTCATTGATGACTCTTCATTGGCATCTTACTTCATAGATAAACTGCTTTGTTAACCTCCATAATTACTCATACTATAAGATAAATTTGACATTTGATTGGCATCCATTCCTAGTGGCAAATGCTTCTTTCTACCTCTTCTTTTAGGGCCACTTTAAGACATCTAATTTTGCGATTAATATTGGAGTTAGGCTAGTATTGTGTTTTAATGAGGATTATAATCTTCTTTGATTTCTAATTTAGTTTAGTATTAATTCAATTCTTATGCAATGAAATTTGGATCATTTTTCATTTCAAAATAGCTTAAATCCATTTTTTAATCATATTCATCTGGCTGCATAAAATGTTCAAAGGTGTCCTCTTCAGGATTCTATAAGGAAATAATCTAATTTTCATTTTTGTCATCATCATCTTCTCCAAAAGATGAATTCATTTCTGTAAGTATTGATGGCATATCTGGGTTATCTTGCAAATCTCTAAAAAGTCTGGTATGTTTAGAGCAATAAACAAGTGGCTCGCCTGTTATTTCATCAGCTTATTTCTCTTTCATTGTTTCATACTCTGTTATCAGGCCCCTTTAAATTGCACACCTGACATGAAATGTTTTCTTACAATTGTATTCACACTATAATTGTTAAAAATAGATTAAGATATTTACAGTCATTGTCTTTTATATAATAGCTGTTTTACGACAATAGCAGCACTTATTTTTAGCATGATAATATTTTTGAGTTTAAACAATGTCCATTTTATTCCTAAAAATTATTAATCTCTAATATATCTTACTCATCAGCAAATTTCACGCTTGAATGCCAAAATACACAACATAGATGTAACCATCCAACCATCATATTTTTCTTATGATTCTTATCAATATAAATAAGTATGCCAGTAAGTTCATCACAAAATTTGCACTTAATATTCTCATACTCATTGAAATCATTGTCTACTAAGTACTTGCATCTTTCACAGATAAACTAGTCAAATGGCGCTCCACCTTTGGCTGCATATAAGAGTTTCCTACCATGACACTTGATATGGACTGCTGACAAACATAACTCACAATAAACGATTTTATTATCTTCATAAGAAACTCGAGATAGACAACTATCACATTAAAGCATTCCAAGTGCAATATTATTTTTATAATTAATGATTTTATCATATTTCTGCCTAAGTTCATCATATCCTATCATAGATCCAGTGCCAAGCACAACATTAGTAATAGGTGCAAATTCATTGAATGCATTAGCAGTTCTAGGATCATCAAGGATTTCATTTTCTAAAGCATGCTTATATTACATTTTTTGAAGCATTGCTGTTTTTATCTAGAGCTACTATTATTCAGTCTCGGTTTTCATCTCTTAAATCTAGGTCAAATGGCTATCTAGATCCTCCTTTTATTACAGTTTACTGAA